TTTGTAAGTATGTATTTGCGTGTGTGAATGTGTGAGTGTATGAGTGTGTATTTGTGAGTGTGTGTGTGCTTGTGTGTGTGTTTGTGTGTGTATTATAATACATAACATAGATATGAACAGGTTAATTTCTTTACACGCCCAAATTTCGAGGTGACAATAGAGATTAATTATAGAAACCTAAATCAAAGCACGATTTTGAGATGAAGGGTGTTGGCAAGCTTACAATGTTTTGCAAAGGCGTAACGATACGGTAAGAAACCATTCGTATTTAATGCACAAGACTGGCTTGTTTGGTGTACGTGAGTCACATATTAGCTGTTAACACTAGTATGTTACAAGGAAGTGGGTTAGCCACATGGGCGGAGTGAAAGACAACATATGAATCAAAAGATGAACCAAAGAGAGATTACGAACCGTAAAAAAAAATTCAAGAAGAAAACAAGAAAGAAGGTTACAAGATTACATCAGAGAGCTGATGGGTACATCCTGCACACGGAAAACAGCTGATAAAAAAGAATGGATGTCGTTGTTGGAGGGTTACGTCCTGCAGTGTACGAACTACGCATAGAAAGACAGAAATGAAAGAGTTACAAAGATTCTTACCCCTTAAAAAAATACAATTTTCATTTAGCTTTTTATATGTTAATTCTTAGTCTCAAACACTCATTATGAGAAGGCTACTGAAATGAAAATGTTGATGTGTAAAAGATGTGAACTTTGTGCCTGACAAATTCATTGTGGAGGTAGGTTATTTGATTGCTAAATCAATGAAACTGTAGATCTACAACAAACAACAACGAGCATGCGAAGCTGTACAGGTTTGACGCAACTGGGAACACATTATATCTACTGTTACAATGTGTTTGATAAGCGGTCCTCCAAATCTAACGTCTATCTCCGATAGGACAGAGCGAAATGGGAAACAAATGATTCGTAAAGTGCTTTTCACAAGGACACAAGGTCGGGCGGAGCTGAACCACGAATCCTGAACCTGCAGTCTTACGATTGTGGGTTCGGTTGTTTCACCAGAAGACTACCGACGTCCCACAAGGAACAGCAAGGTCTCGTAAATCTTCTAAAGTCAGCTGCAGGCGGGAGAAAACTTGCAAGGTGTTGAAACTTGACTATCAAAGAGCGTATGCTGTGTTCATTAAGTAGAAGCTGGTGGATGAAGGCATGTTTTGTTTATCAAAGATATTCGTTCATTTGATCTTGCTTTTAGAATTCAAGTTATAAGGAGAAACCTGATAAAACGAAAAATTAATACTTCTTATTTTCAAAGCTGAGGCAAATTAAATGGAGGGGAATGACTTCAAAAACATGTGGATGAAATACGGTGAACGAATTGCGCACTATCAGCGTTAATGGTGTGTTGACATGTACACAACACTCGTTTTGTATGAATGTTTATCAGTTTCAAACGTGTTTGGCGTGATATAGAGTTTTTTAGAGAGCTGTCAAGGTTAAAGTTCAAGTATGTTTACGCAAAGTAAAAAAAAGGCCTACGTTTGTTTTTGCGTATTTATGTTTTGCGCTCGAGATTTCGTAACCTTGACATTCATTGAGAGCATGTGAAAAACCCCTGAAACTTTTAATAACAAACTATTAAAGCTGCTGCTTGTCCAATTATAATTTAATGTAATAACGAAAAAGGGTGTAAATAATCTTTAAAACAGGAACATCTCACATTTTTTAAAAATCACCAAAAGTAAGGTTCCTGTGTTGAGGATTTTCTACAATCCTTTTCATTCTTTTCCCCAAATTATCAACGGAAATCTTATGGATCTTTTTAACAACATTGCTTTCTTACTATTTCTCCTTCCACCAAAGGGCATGATGCAGGATATCCGTCAGTTCTGCATTAAAGAAGGGATCGAAGCCAGCAGAATCGACAGCCTGCTAGGTGAGTAAGCAACATCGCATTACCAGATCCTCCTTTGTCGATCTTCCTCTGTGGTTGATGAGGTATCAATTCACGGTATAAGGTTGCATAATGGTGTTTGTCTATAATTCTGTGGGTATAATATTGTTTGAATACGGAGTTCAATCTTTGTTTTTGTTTCCTTATTTTGGGTTCCTTTTTCCGCTTTAAAAGTGTGTGTGTGGTTGTTGTTTTTTTTTTTTTTTTTTTTTTTGGGGGGGGTGTTCTGCTGTTGTGTTTTTAATATTGTTTTCCTTTTTTTATTTTTAAAAGTGTTTGTTTTTAAAGAGGGATGCACGTGAGAGCAGTTACTGTTAGTAAATTGTGTGTCAGAGGCTGTTCCCCAATCCCAGAATCGGTTTCTGGTAAAAGTTCTGATAGGTTTTATAGCTGAACACGAGTAATCCGAATAAAGTAAGAAATAGTAACTGCATATTCCTGACACCTCATCTTAGGTTGTTTTCGCTCACTTCTATTTCAAGATTAATGTAACACTTTGTGTGATTTTATTTAGGGGGAGGGAGGAGGGGCGAGAGGGCATGAATTGAGCACTATTATTATTATTATTATTATTATTATTATTATTATTATTATTATTATTGTTATTATTGTTATTATTGTTATTATTATTTTGGTGTACATTTTCTTGTGTTCACGCATTGAACGGTCGCTTTTGGAGCGGTTAGTTTCTCCTTTTACTCACATGGCTATTCAGTGGTAAGCCTGATTTTGTCACAGATTCCTTTAAGAAAGTGGGTGAACTGCTTTTACTGTGGTATTTTCTCGTAAAGTAGTCGGAAAACAGCACACAAGACACTATTTGTATGACTTAGTGCGTAGTTAGGACCATGGTAAGCGGTTGGGTGTTGTCTGTTTTTGGGTTGTTGTTGTTGTTGTTGTTGTTGTTGTTGTTGTTGTTGCGTTGTTGATGTTTTTGTTGTTGTTGTTGTTTTTGTTGTTGTGTTGTAGTTGTCGTATTGTGGGGGATTTCAAACAAAAGATTTGTAATCCCACCCCCCTTCCCCGACATGCATGCATACGCACACATACACATTCACATATTAATGTAATTTATTCTATTTGTCAGTTGTGTGTATGCGTGTATGTGTGTGTGTGTGTGGGGGGGTGGTGTGCATGTGTGTGTATGTGTATAATATGTACATAATGTATCTACAGTCCAACTTTGCAAAAACAGCACCCCCTCCCCCACACTCGAACCAAAAATAAATACACTCTTTCACATAATATTTACCACCCGAATCCTGATCACGTGCCAGAGACCATCCAGGTTTTCACGGGCTCATTCCCTGGATTATCCTGATAGCCTCATAAATCCCAGGTCACCCGAGAGCACTGTTATTTCCCTTGCTTCTTGGTTACGCCCCCTGTCGGCGGGTCACGGCAGGGGATAAGCCTTGTTTTCCTATTGTTGGCGGAAAACTTCCATTTCTGCTAGCAGTCAGATTTTCCGTGTTCATCTGTTTATCCCCTTGTTATTTCTGAATCGATGTTGACTTTCTACGGCTATGGTGCTGCTGTTCTTTCGTTTCATTTACTTACGATTGTTTTGATCATTATTTATTTTTAGTTGTTTTTGTTTAGGAGAAAACAGTTGGCTCGGTGTTAGCAGTTATTGGATGTCGTTTACCAGTTTACATTGTTTTTCGTCCTTCCTGTTATTTCCACTTTTTACTCTCTTTCATCCTCAATAAGTTATCTTCTCTCTTACTCTCTCTCTGCTTGTCTCTTCCATTCTTTCTAATTCTCTCTGTCCCCCCCCCCTCTCCTCCCCCCTCTCCTCCCCCCCTCTCTCTCTCTCTCTCTCTCTCTCTCTCTCTCTCTCTCTTTCTCTCTCTTTCTCTCTCTCTTCTTCCCCTCTCTCTCACTTTCTCCCATTCTCTTCACCATTTCATATGATCTTTGTCTCTCCATACAAAACTTTCCACAGTTAAGTTTTCACAACTTTCTGTTTTGCATTTGGAAATTTGCAAGATATTTATTGAACTATATCTATCTGAAACTAGATGGTTCACGACTTAAAACTGACTGAGTTTCTTTCCTTTAACTACAAAGTTAATTAACTTCTGTTAATACGTTTGGACCCGATATTGTCTAAAACTGGTCAGTTACTCGTCATAAACAGAGCAAGGAAAATGTTATATTCTATCTCTTGATCCATACCCCAGCCAACAATGACACAGTTACTTTCATCCCGGATTAGCAGAAGTGAAACAGGATGCAAAGTCAATGTAGAAATTACAGCTATTCACCCTCGAGAAAAAACGTAGGTGGTTCATAAATACTAGGTACATGAGTTTGTCTGCTATTGCAAGCATCAATTTTCAAGAGGAATCGTATTATTATCCGACTCCCAGTGCTGCGCCCACAACTGTCTACTTTGTTTTGTTTTTAGACACTCCACCATCTATCTGTAGAATTGTCACTGAGTTCTTTTCTTTCTTTTTCCATTTTTTTGTAACTCTTTCTTCTAGCTACCCATCCTTAAAAAGATTTTTGATCCCCATTATCAGCTTGTTCGCTAGGTTTTATAATAAAAATGAAGACTATAAAAATTCCAACGAACGGAGTCCACTTTATCATGCTTTACCAGAGTTCTTTTTGTGTCGTTTGAGGGAAAAAGATGAATACAGAAATTTCTCCCGGTTATTGACTACAGTATTGCCGGTTGACAAACCTGACATCGATGCAATTCTTTTTGAGGAAAACAGCAAGTAGGCTTTAATGTCACAGCTTAGAGTTAATTTCGAAAAGGACGAAGGAGTAAACGAAAATACTACAGAGACAATTTAGATTTCCACCCTATTCACCATAATAAAACGTTGATTTATAGATCTAGAGCCACCAGCTCCCTACGTTTATGTCCGGATTTAGTATTTACCCTCCCACATTATCTGTTTGTCACGAATACATATTTGTAACCCGTGCTGACAACATGAGTTACTTCTCCGATTCAAGCCTTATAGAAATAGATACCTCATGCTCATGGGTGGAATTTTTACAATTTATAAGTATGAAATAATAAAAGGCATGTTATAGTTAAAGAATATGACACAAAAGGAAAACCTGCAGATTTGACCCTAGTGTCGATTTTTAGTCAATATCTAATTTTGTGGATTGTGAGAAGTAACTCATTTTGTCAGCCCGTCTCACATTTATAAAGACAGAGACTCATCTAGTTTTCGTATTTACCTGCTTTCCTGTCTTTGCAGGTAAATTCGCTCCCAGGAGACGAAAAGACTCCAAGTTTTACACTCTTGTGAAGCTTGTGATGAGCACGGCGTCCATCAACAACAACAACAACGACAACGACTCTGTGAGTAGCTCCAGCATGGAAAACGACCTCCGTGACTACGCCAACAGAGACAGTGTCCTCAACGAGGCCACCAGCAACGAAAACACGGTGACATCACTGAAGCAGTACCTTTCCGTGCCCTTCTTCTCCGGGGGGAACAGGTCCAACACGCTGGACATCGAGAGTCGTGGAAGTGGCCGGTCTGGAGGCAGCCCCAGTATTTACATAACGTCTCCAGCTAGCGACGATGAAGCGCCTGTATTTTCTTTCGACATCGCTGATGAAGACGACGTCGATATGTCTAACGACCAAGACGATGCCGGATCTCAAGACGACGAAACATCGATTCAGGCCGGAAGTGACGCAGCCACCATCGCGGTGACGTCAGCGGAAGTGAATACCGTATCGCCCAACGTGGCGTTTTATGTGGGTAGCCAGAGTTCATTGTGTAGTGTACACTCGCAGGAAGATATTCGCACCGTGGTGGACACGAACGATAACTACGAGCGGAACTTCCCGATGTGTGGCGTACCGTGTGCAAGCGGTGGCGAAGACCTCGCAGCCGCCGCTCTAGACGACGTCATTTCAAACTCCCCCACTGTGAACTCAAACAGCTGGGGTCCCTCTCGACACTATAGCCGTTTTCTGACCGTGCCTTGTTGCACACTCAGTCTTTCCGCTGTGACCAACACCACCAGCACTGCTACGAGCTACCCTAGCAGCAGCAACAACACCAACAATAACAGCAACAGTAACAACAATAATAATAACGCGTGTGCGGAGACACATCCTCTGTTGGGTGACCCACCGCCTGGCCAGAATATGACGCGGTCAGTCTCGGACAACTGTGACGTCACGGCTACACAGTACGGAGCCCGTACATGTGGAGGTCGTTACGGCAGCCCGGTTCCTATGCGGCGCAAACCCTGCTTATCGGAAAAACGCAGATCGTACGCACGTGCCAGATCGGAATCAATAGAAAACCAGGAATTTATTCCCCTGATGTCTCAAGGAGCGAACAAAGGAAGAGTCAGACATCACAGCGACTTGGAAGGGAGACCATCGACAAGAAAAGATGACCTGAAGCGTTCTCGCTCTCACTCACCGTCCCCGATGGTTCTCTTAGGGGTGCCGGGCCAGACCAAGAAATACTCAGACCCACCCCCGTCGTATCAGGCCGCTTCTCGGTCCATGAATGACGTCAGTTCCGCAGGAAAGGGCCAGTCCGGGAATCCCCATGCCAACAATCTCGGAAAGGATGGCCGGATTTTGCGTCGTTCTTGTCTCAGTTTGACTAGCGAAGGGAGGAAACGACGGGGGAAATCGCCCCAGAGAGTCAGTTTTAAAGTCTCTTAACACGAACAGATGTGCATGGGAAAAATACAACAATATTCAAATTACGAATATTTACTGAACCACGAGATCGTGTAGCTGATATTTATTCCAAACAAATAATTTTTAAAATGCTGTTGAATCAAATCTTATTGAATGCAGAAACCAGTTGTGCTGAGGAAAAAATCACTGGGGAGGTGCAAATATAGCATTTAATTTATATTGAACGTCGGTACTTTTCAACATTAAAAATAAAGATAAAAGCTGCCATAGCAATAACATCATCCGTTGATAAAAGCGTTGTTTTCAACAAGTAGTTAACGATTTCTTAGGGAGTCTCATAACAAACTTCTGTTATTATATTCTGTATGTGTATTAAAAAGTATGGGTTACTCTCTGAAGAAAATGGTATCTATGAGATACCGTGCTGCAAGAAACCCGATGAAAGACTCAAGTAGTCTCAAATCTTGCAAAGAACTCAATCGGCCTTTCTGGGACTGCGAATGCGACCATTTAATTTTCTACAAGGTGGAAGCTCCTCGTTCGATTTCAAAACAGTTCCAAATTGATCTTTCTTTCTTCTACCAAAATAGTTCCTCTCAGCCCGGTGTCCTAACGGGGACCAACATGATCGACTGTTTCTTGCAGCAACAACAAGAATAACAACGACAACAAAAACAACGTTTACACCCTAAACAACTGCAAGGAGAAAATCTAACTCCTATTTCAAAAGGCGCACTTTCGTAACAAGAAAATAATAGTCTTTGATCCCCAAATTTGTGTCTGATCTTTGTAAATAAAAACGATACAGAACACGAAATACATTTCACTTCAGTTGATGGTTGGTATTGAACTAACAAATTACCAACTGGGACTGAACTACTACTAGGGGTGAGTAACCCGATATTCTCTTGATAACATAATGTATTACTATGCTCTAACGTGAAATATGAGCTTAGCGTTATGATTAGATGAAGTGAAAGTGTCAAAGTCCTTGTAAAAAAACCCACTTGGCGATTCAAAGTGAACACGAAATGCTCTTGCCTCTCTGATTCGCTACTACTTATTAGGCCAACTCATTAATGAAAAATAAATTTCCTTAATTAGAAAAGCAAGATAACATAAAATAATATGTATTTGAACGCATGAATTTATCGGTTGGAAAATCACGAAAGCAGTCATAATATGTTCCTTTAAAAAAAAAAAAATCACACTTGTCAAAACAACTTGAAAAAGATGAGCCAAATTCCTCAAGAATAGAGGAAGGGAAAGAACTTAGGAATATCCCAAAGCTAATATTTTACTGTTATGTCCCTTCAGGGCTATTGGTTTTGTAGTAGCTTTTTTTGAGAGGGAGAAGGGGGTTTTTGTTGTGAGTGTAACCAACAATAATTGAAAGATATTTCACGTACGTATCCCGAGATGTTTATACTGGCGAAAACCCCATTCCTTTATTTACTATGACATATATAAGCAAAGTAATTCATGTGCCCAGCGGTTAGGAGTACGATCGCCTTAGATTTTCTTCGAACCTGAACAAAGTTAATAGTTGCTCAACATTGTTGCCATCGGACGAGATTTAAGTAATATGGTAGATTCTTCCTTGTGTTAAATATTTAGAGACTTTCTCAATGTACATGTATTTACCTCTGCATTGTCTAGAGAACACCTGCCATGAAAATAGAGAGTCAGAAATAACCCACCGTGTCTGACTGAAGTGGGGCTAGACAAACGTGCACATGTTGCAAAGCTTTAGGAACATCCTGCTAACTACTGAATGCTCTATAGGTTTGTGCTTCCCAAAACCAGAGTCGCAACACCATGATATAGTCATAGACACATCAGGGCAAAATTGACGGAAACATTTCTTCGTGCAAACATCACAACAATATCGTACTAAATTCCTCAAACATAAAAACACAGGTTACTTTTTAAGATTTACGTTGGCTTGTTTGGTAAGGTGTTAACGATTAGGTACACAGTGTTAACTTCAAGTTTGTTGAAATTATGTTGGCTTCGTTAATCATTGTTTCGTGGAAATAATGTAACAATAATAATATTATTATTACGACTTCAGCCAGATTTAACGTTAATGTTACAATGCCTTTAGCAATAAGACTGTAAGGCTGACCATTGCACATAGACAATATGGCAAAAGTGGTTTACTGTATTCTGAAAAGCGGTATTTAAGAATAAAGACTTTGCAGATCGACGTGCAAATAAACGTTATCAAAGAAAATCATTTTACTTGTTCAGTTTTGTTACAAAAATGACATATAAGTAAACGAAAGTTGTTTTAATTTGGCTGAGGATTATAAGCCTAGACGTTTAATAACAATATTTTATATAGATTATGTAAATTATCCTTTATTAAATGAATGCTAATATTCTTTAAGCATTCTAATTCTCTCACAGTGACTCATCGAATGTGATATGACAACGGTTTTACATTTTGATGTCTATCCTTCGTTGATGCTTTACGAACATGATGCTAGAGGTATCTGTGATAAAGAGGTGATTTTACTTTCCACTTTTGTGCTGAACGAAGTTGTTAAGTTTTGTTTAGATTAGTTAAAATGTGTTCGAAATACAAGGAAAGACTCCACTAGGTAAACTGGATAGATCTAAGTCACAATTTAAAAAAACGATCGAGTTTGTACCTTTCTTGCAGTTCTTGAAATTCGAACTTCCTACTTCGCAAAGGATCCCAGGGATACTCAAGTTGAGTCCTGTCCTATGTAAGGTAAAAAAGATGAAGCACTCACTATGAAGTACTGACTTTCAGAATTTGAATTCCCATTGTCTCCACTTCCTTAGAATGTGACTTATCTGTTCCTTTTTTCATTGGGGTCTTCAAGTATATCCTGCAATAATTTAAAAACAGTCTAGTAATTGCAGCTATCAAATCTTTTACTCACTTTCTACATTATCAGGTTCATATAATAGATAGAAGCAAATCTTTTCGTGTATGGAAAGACAAAACATACCCATGGAAGCGAGCTAGTCAAGTGCCGATACTTCTAGCTTAGTATTTAGAGAAATAGAGATCAAAATGACACGTTTGTAGGTGAAAACCTGACATCCTGACATCATCTGTTGGTGTACAGGGTATGAAGGCATTCTGTAAGATGAATTGTTACAAATGCTATTGTTTCTAAAATACCCTTAGATCTTCATTTTGGCATTCTTTCCGTTTTTTAATGCCCCACTCTTACAATTTGATAGAAGAGGTTATCCTTGATTCTTTGCCTTTTACGACAGTAGAAAAGATCTCTCCTTTTTGTTAGTGTTGCTGTTAAGAGGGAATAGAGACAGCCAGTTGATTGTTTCCTTGTTTTGCCTGGGACTTCCTATAGTGTTAGCCTGGCAGCCTGGTTTGTTCCAGCTAAAAATAGCTAGATGTTTTCTCAGGGCGTTGAAACTAATGTGAATAATGAAATGGCTCATTGAATTTATGTGATTATGAGAACATGCTCCATTGTATTAGATGTGCTGAAAATTGATTGGATTTTGGACCGCAAGATTGAATACTTGCTTACCTGGTTTGGTATGCTTGTTGTTTCATTTTAGAACCAGCTTAATCAATGTCAGCTGACCAAATTTATTATGTTTTTGTTTCCATAAAAATGTTTTATAATGATCTAAACATATACGGAATCGTGGTGAAATCAGGCGTTTGTCAATATGATGAAATTAAAAAGAAAGCGACATTCTTCTGTGCATTTGGTAGTTTTTACCGATTATTTTGTTTACGGGGTCAAAACTTTTTATGCTCACTTAAAACGCAGAGACGCATTCATGAATGGATTTTCATTGCAATAAAAACCCCGGTAATTAAAGGGAAAAAAACGGTTTTTTCAGATTTCCAGAACATTGTAGCTTTGGAGGTCTCCAAACTTTGACCCCATTTTTTGTTGTTGCCAATATTTTATCTCTGACATCAGGTTCCCCAATCTTCTTCAATCACATATATCTCGACTTCTATTCAATATAAATGAGTCTTTTTTTATCAAAAGCAAGGAAAATGGACAGACATTTATAGACCATGCTATTAACAACAAATGCCCGAAACGTGGCGAGCGCCTGATTCCACCTTGTCGTGACACAAATAATTATGTGCAATTATTGAAAGTATTGCAAACTGTGATGTAAAGTGTTATCATTTGAGCTCATTGTGACTATAATATATCCAGTGAGATTTTCCATAAGACGAACCTGAGGATTCCCCTATAACTTGTTACATTCTAAATATATATCACTGTCGTTCACGGAAACCCAGATATGTCATAAGTAATTTGTGATGCAGCGTAGTGGAATCAGGCTCTCATCAATTTTTAGGCATGTAGAGTTTTGGTATCATCTTAAAGCTTTTTCACTTGTCTTTTTTTTAATGAAAAAAAATATCCATTTATCTTGAATACAAGTCGAGATATTTGCGAATGAAAGAAGTGGGGTCACCTGTTTTCAGAGGAAAAATTAGTGAGAAAATGGGCACCAAAGATGAGTAATTTCCTTAGTTTAAGAGTCCTTCTTAACTGAAAATTTCACTTTTTTCTGCCTTTAATCAACGTTTTTCAGAAAAATTCACACAGGAAAGAGTTCCTTAAAAGAGATGAAAGGTTTTGAGCCAAAAAACAAAAAGTTGATTAAAATTTACAAACCTGCGGAAAAATGCAGTTTTCTTCACTTTGATTATTAGGACGAGAGCCTGATTCCACCCCGCTGCCTCACATTTCAAGATTTGCTCCGATTTCAAAAGATTGTAGAACGATATCCCTAGAAGTCATCCTCTGGAAATATTGCAGCGTCAGAAGTAGTACATTGCTGTTTTTTAAAGATATGTGTAAACACGTTTTCTTTTGTCTTTATAGAAAGGATCAGGACTAGTTTTCGTTTTGGTGCGTTAATTCCTATGACAAAAAAGTATCTAAATATAATAATATACTACGGAATAAATTCCCATGCCTGAAGTACTATTCCAGACAGCTGGAATTATTATTCCACAATCCACTTTTAATCAACTCCCTAAAGCGGAAGAACCTCTTGATCGCCAGCAACCTGTATATTATTATATTTTTCTCTACTTCAAAAGGTTTCTGTGATTACGAAAGACTACAGTATATTATTGAACAATTGCTGCAAAGACTCCTTACTTCATTTAAAAGCGAAAGATGAATTTATTGTTATTTATGGGTTTTTTTCGTAGATTGCTGCTATTGTTCTGCAATCTACTATGTGCTTGCTCATTATACCTCATGTGATGATATTATTATGATTTTGTTTTGAAAATGGTTTCCCGCTGCTTTTTATGTAATGTGATAAAGGACATGATGTCATGAATTGTGGGTGTGTAGGTTGTCGTCGTTGCCGTAGGCGTTGTTGTCCTCGTTCTTGATTTTGTTATTATTAGTTCTGTCCCTGATTGCTTGTGTTATCACGTTTAGTTTATATTCGCTCCTACGTTTTCACTTTGATTGTACATAAATCTGGACGACCTTTCCTCAATGACATTCACATAGTATGAGTGGATTTCGCCTTCTTTCGTCTTGATCGAAAGAAAATAGTAGAATAAGAAACCGAGGAAGAGGATGGATACTTACTTCTAGGACACGGTCTTAGCATTTTTACCATTTATTGCATTCACCCTGTTATGCCCTTTATTACCAAGGGAGTTAGCATGTGATTGATAAAATGTCGACACCATTGATACTTTATGTATAACCTAGCAATATGTATCTCTTTTAATAGTATTATCATATTAGTAAGCGTTGCTTTTATCCCTTAGTTATACAGTGCAATATAATATCATTATTATCATGTTATTAGAGAATTGTGATATTTCCTATTATAAATTGTTTGTTATGTTACTGAAATGCTGACATATAAGTCTTAAGATATCCACTATTGTTATGACAAATCTAACAATAAGACATATTTGCCATTGCAAATGTTTACAATTACATTTAGCTTTAATGTGGTAGTGCTGCCCATTTCCATTAATACGTAGACAATCACCCGTGCCGTATCATCATCATCATCATCATCATCATCATCATCATCATCATCATCATCATCATCATCATCATCATCATCATCATCATCATCATCATTGTTATTCCAATACTTAATACAACACATATCCTTTTAGCCCAGAGTAGAAGTTACCTTTCCATGATTTCCCCCTCCCCTCCCAACGACCATACCAACCCATTCTTCTTTGAATTTACTTCGTTTTTAAACCCAGCT